AATATACATCCCACCCTCAAATTCTTCGTCGATGGGTTTTTTAGCTGGGAAAACTGTGCGTATAACCCATTTTGAAACAGAATGTCTGTAAAGAATCAATATAAAACCAGCTCCATTTGTGCTACGGGAAAAAAATTCCAATGTCCCCCTTCGACTTTAAAAATTATTTCTAAATTTTTTTTCGGAATGGAGAAATCATTATCAAAATTTTCTATCAATCCTTTCCTTATCAAAAATATTGCTTTTATCTTTTGCTTTTTTCCAGCTGTTTTTCCTCAGTGGAAATATTTTTTTCCCCTTCATATTTTTGCTTTTAAAGATGGAAAATATGATGGACAAAACGGTAATAACTTTTTATCATTTAATTTTCTCAAATGAAAAAAAAAAAAGAAAATTTTTTTTCCCTCTAATTTTTTTTTCTAAATATAGTGTAACCCGAAAGTATGGCGCTGATTATGAAAATTCATAACAAAATAACCCTTTACATTTTTTTTAAACTTTCTTTTTTCGCGATCAATATTTAATCAAAATTTTTTCATCGCCCGCCCCCCTCCCATACAATAACAACGTATTGAATTCAGTAATACATCGACGCTAAAGCTAAAACTCGATTTTGACCTCTTTTGCCACTGGCGTATATAAACGTCTCGCTCAAAAGCGTTGATTAACTCGGACTATATATACGTCTTTTTTTAAAATACAAGCTTTTTGTGTATTGCTATCCAAAAAATTTTTTCGAAAGTTTTAGATTGAAATAAAAAAACCTAAACAGCATTTGCGAAGGTTTGCTTATTTTTTTCCTTTTCTCCCCTCCCCAATACATCTATCGTGCCCACATGGCCTTTTAATTTAAAAATACCTGTGCGTACTGATACATTTATAAATTATTATGCCGGTCAAATGTGTTTTTTATTTTTTTGTTCAGAATGTATTTTGTTTGTTTATTTCCCCTAAATTAATAATTTTCTTAAATAATTTTTTGTTTCCGATTTTTTAATAGCTCCCCCCCCTCGTGAGTTCGCCCCACGTTGAAACCTGCTTTTGTAATAATGCAATTTTTGTATCATTGGATAAGCCATTTTTGGCACGAATTCTCCTTCAAGAGTGACTCAGGGAACATTAGTAAGAAAGCTATTTGTTGCCGACGGTCTGGGTTAAGAAAAAGGCCCCCAGTTTTTGTGGTTTCACGAAACGAAATCGTTTATTAATGTTGCGTAAATTTCCACGTTGTGGAAGCAAACCCCCCGGAAAAAAAATCAAAAAAGGATGACGTGGAATCTTTCAGAAATGGCACGTTGAGAATTTTCCCTAAAAATGGCGGCCTAGTGTGGTGAAAACTGTTGCCCGTTCGACATCGTTTCCCAACAGGGGCCCTACAAATCAACTTGTGAGATTTTTCCAAACTTCAAATATAGTAAAAATTTTGGGTGAAACAAAATTAGATATCGCGGGCGCCTATTCCCAGATGGATGGGGGGTTTGAAAGGATGTAATCAAATCAAAAAAACCCCCCGAAAATGGAGGGATGACGCCCCCCAAGTACAAGCGTTCTAATGAAGCAGAACGCCGGCGGGGCGAAGGGGAGGAAACCAGGAAGGAAAACAGGACGGCCCAAGGCAATAAATCGTTTGGTGACGTTCATCTCCGGGAAACCCCAAAAAGGAAAGATGCTGTGCAATGAAGCTGCTTATGTTGCTAAAGTGTGAAAAAGGGATATGTTGCTTTAGGGGGGGGGCGGGTTTTTTCCCCTTTTTAAAGGGATGCATATTTAATTTTTTGGATGAGGGTCTAAACAATGTTTGTGCTTTTATAATTGGATTGTCGTGAGATTCAATAGAAAGTTTTAGTGATGTACACTGCTGGGCCCCCGTAAATGCAACACCAAAAAAGACAAAAAATGCACAACAAAAATTTTTTTTGTAGATAAAAATTTTACCAAGTATCAAATGATTAATTTAAGACTTCTGGAAGGGGGGTTCCTGAGAATCAGTAGCCAGAGTAGCCCCGATTTTGGAGATCACCGCTGCCACACCGGCATTGATTCAAAAAACCTTGGATTTTTCTTGGGGTACAGCGACCAAGCAGCTTCCATAAATTTTCAAAATTGATCTGGTGTGGCAGCTGGGGGGGGTAATCTGGGTAATCGTTGGAAAAGGACCACATGTTTTTTCGGCGAAAAATCCGGAGAGCGAGCCGGCCAGGGGAACAATTTAATCTGGTGTTTGACGAAAAAAATTTGGACAATGCGTGCCCCCTGTAGTCCCCTTTTCCTGTTGAAATATGGCTGTGGCCAAGCCTGAAGGTAAGGGGAAAGGGCAACTGGCCCCAAAACCTCGGAGATTTGGCGGCTAAAAAGATGGCAATGCGTACTGGGGGGTGCGAAAGTGATATCAAAACCCCCCCATACCCTAAACCCGGTGAAAAAACCCGGGGGCGGTGCATAAAGCAGCTGTTAGTATCCTCTCTCCCCGGTGTCTCCCGACTCAATCCCACCATCGTGGTGTTGGCGGCTGACTCGTCAGTAAAAACAACTTCATTCCATTCTTCCCCCCACATTCTTCTTTCATCGCACCATTAGCGGCGAGACGTAAGTGGTTTGCTTCAAGGGTAGACCAAGCAATGGACGTATTGTGGACGACCACTTCTGTAAACGGCGTTGAATGGTACGCGCAGACCTGAATGATACGTTACAGACTCAATGTGCTGTGCTATGGTTCGTGATGTGACTGAGCGATCCGTCACTACCATGCGCACAATTTGCCTGTCCTCACGTGAAGGGGTGCACTGAGGTGGATCGATCGACCCACGTCGGTCTGTCGTACCCTCCTGCATCCCAAAGGTCACATATCCGCATTACAGTTGTTTGGTTTCATCTAACACGACTACCGATTTCCCTGAAAGATAATCACAATTTCGGTAGGCCACTATCCTCCCTGTCGAACTCGGATACTTGATCAAAAGCTGATCACTGTCTTTTTTTGAGACGTAACTGATCGTTTTGAAAAAAAACCCCAAGAAAACAGAATTCCGAGCTTGAAATCGTCGAAATCTCCAAGCCTTAATAACGCTTTGATGTGGCGCCACAGGCGTGCGTGATGTCTGTCTGCCCTGAAATTCTAATCATGTGCATTTCTCACCTCCGCTAATACATATTGTAAATTTCATGTTATTTGCATGCTTCCTTCAGTTTGTTGCATTTAGGTAGCCAGCAATGTAGTTAGAATTGGCCCATATGTAGGTCGTTGTGAATCACGTCATATCGAACGTACGAAGGTACGTTTTGTTTTGAATTACTTGAATTTTTTTCATGTGGGTGGCAGCTGCTGCTCCCCAAACTGGAGAAGCGTACGTGATAACTGGGTGCAAAATCTGCTTGCATAGAATTACTTTATTTTCTAGGGGTAGAGGAGACCTTCTCCCCAAACAAGGAAGATAGCTAAATGAATTCTACCCCAGAATTTTTAAACAAGATAGTCGATGTGTTTTTAAAAGGGTTAGACGGCTATTCAATGTGGGGCCCCAGATATTTCACTACGAAACCCACTGGATGTTGTGATCAAAAAGTGGAGATGATGGAAGGCGGGTCAATGACCCCATTTCCTGAATATTATTGCTTGAGATTTGTCAACATTAATCGCAATTCTCCAATGCGTAAGCCAAATTTCTAGTTTGTCGAGGAAATTTTGTATAGCTTTAATAGTGTATTTAAGCTGGACTCCTTGCATAGCACGGGAATCATCCGCAAACAGGAAGTACTGACGGTGGAGTATTGTGGGAAGTCGTGAGTGTAGATGTTGTACAAGTAAGGTGAAAGAACAGAACCCTGAGGAACGCCAGAAAGGAAAGTTCCGGAGTTAGAGTACGTATTGTTTACACGAACTCTAGAAGTTCTATTGTGTAAAAAATTATGTATGATTTTAACTAAGTAGTCAGGGAAATGTAGTTTAATTAACTTGTACGTGGGGCCATCGTACCACATTTTATCGAATGCCCTTTTAACATCTGAAAAGACATCGACAGTGTAAAAATTGTAGTTTGGTAAGAATTCTTCATAAAAAGCTTATAAACTGCGGAACATTTGGTGACTGAATGGGAACACTTGGAGGGAACTAAAACACCTCTTACGGCATTCTCTGAGCTACCAAGGGGACACACGTTGCAATTCACTGAAGTAAATGGTTTTATCAAAAAAAATTCACAATAATTCTTTCAATATATGGAAAAAGCATGTGTCTATAATAGTTTCATGACAATAAATATTTAAAATCAGGGCAAGACGTTTGGTTCACCCTATATAAAAGGTATGACACACACACACACAAAATAAAAGAAACGAGACTTGGTTTGGAAATTTTGGTCGAGTTCAGGCTACTATGTATGGAACTTAATGATACTCATCGCATTTTTAGTCAGCTATTTTTTCTTTTTGTTTCTTTTGAATCGAAATTTCGTTAATGTAAATTATTTAATTAATGTATTACACAAACGAACTTATATAACTGTCTCATGCAGAGTAATTAAAATTAAAAAAATTTTCATGAAAGAATATGTAAGAACTGGATGAGTCGTTACGTATTGTTTTTATTTTATACATAATTGAGATTACTTTTTCCATCGTTTAACTATTATTTGAAGAAATATCTGTAAAAAGTACCGAAAGATATTTGTAATGGCTTAAGATGTTTTTTAATTCCTATTATTAGTTCATTTTCTCCTTTTTATATATATATATATATATATATATATATATATATATATATATATATATATATATATATATATATATATATATATCTTGTTCAAATTTTCAATCGTTAATAAAATACTTTCTCTTTCATCCATTCAAGTTCAAAACATTTTTTCAACTTGTAATGAATGGCACTTGATGTTTATACAATTTTTCAAATGTTAAATTTATTAATAAAATTAAAAAATGATTAAATAGAAACAAACAAAAATAATAGTCCAACAGCATATATAGAAAGGAAAATCGCTCGTTGTGTACCTGTAGCGCTATGGATAGCGCGTTGGACTTCTAATCCAAAAAGGTCGTGGGTTCGAATCCCACCTGAGATGGGCCCAATTTCTGAGAATGCGATTCATTTTTTTCTATACTATTTTATTAGAATAATTAAATTTAATGAATGAATAAATAGTAACACGAACAAACGAAAAAATTGTCCAACACCCTATATAGGAAGGAAAATGGAAAATTGCAAGAAAAAAACGCTTTCTCTATTTTGTCACTTACTATTGTGATTCTGTCCTATGTATATACATATTTATATTAATTGTAACTATTTAATAACATGTAATTAAAATAAAATTTGTCTTGTTGACCTAAGTAGAATTGACATAATTTTTTATATTACCTATTATTTTTATATATGTATATATATATATATATATACATAGATGATTTAATTGTTATAGATCCCACGGAAATTTAAAACCTAGCATTAATTTTATCCGGAATACCTAAAATTAATACAGACAAATTTTAACTCGAGCAAAGTTGAATTTTTAGATTTAAATTTAAATATTATTGACAAAAAATTATACAGCAATATCTATGATAAAAAGGAAGCATTTAACTTCAATGTCATAAAAATACCGAACTTCAGTAGCTGTTTACATATATCAATATTTAGAAATATAATTTTAAATTTTTTGATGAGAAATAATAATTTAACTTCACACAATATATTGATAAATTCAGAACATCAGAAATTTATGTTTTGTTGCATACTGAATGATTATCCATCAACTTCTTGAAAAAATACATAGATCAAAAATATTTCTTAAAATATTTTAAACTCATAAATGCACAAATCCATCACACAACATTAGGTCCACAAAGTCAGCTTGTTAGTGGCCCAGCTGTAAAAGAATATGTGCATTCCACACCAGGATACATTTTAATACACACATAGACCAATATTTACACGACTACCCCTTTAAAATTTTTTGAACAATCAAGCAATTTTTTGCATGCAATCTGATCTGCATCTAATACCAAATAGTTAAACTCTAGTGTGAGAATATGAATCATTTGAATTGACATGGCATTAGTGGGAGTTATGAAGCAAAATATGGGTGGTAATTGTTGTATTAAATATGAGAGAAAAAATCGTTAAAAAAAATTGTGAATTGAATTATTGATGGATGACTCTTTGGTGAGTTTTTAATGATTTAGGCTATTCATTTGTGAACATACTGGGTTTTTAATTTGAACTTTCAGTTTTAGACTTTTTTTCTTCCTATACAACTATTTTAAAGATGGGTGCGTCATTTTTTGGTGTTCGATGGTTCACTTATATTATGCACTTAATTGATTTAAATTTTAATATTTTAATGTTATAATATATTTCAGAATGCGATGGCGAATAGTTTAATTTTTCAAGTTTAAGGGTTTTTAATTTTAATTTTTTAAATTTTTTAAATTTTGAGATTGGATATTTTCCGATTAACTTACCAAGCTGCAATAGGGGAAGGTTGGCGCCATCAAACTAGTTTAACTTACCCTTATCGGTCCTAAGTCCGAGGTTGCACTTGGATATTTTATATAAAAAAAATTTTTTATAATTTTTTTATTTTTGTTTGAAAACGTTGGAATTTTATCTTCTATATTCGCCATTGATATTTTGAAATGGATTTAATGTTATAAGATTCATATAATTTCAATTTTTTAATTGATTATTAAGTTGTGATTGAATTATATATATTTAAATATATATGTATATGTATGTATGTATGTATGTATGTATATACAGTCGGACCTCTATTTAACGAAGTCTCTAAATCCCGGAAAAAAGTACGTTATATGGAAAATTTGTTATATAAGGGTTCATCTGTTCATCGAAAATTCAATGGAGAGCAAGAGGACTGTAACGTTGATTTTAATGTTCTATCTGATAAATGAAGAGCCCTTGGTATACGAATAAGTTTATTGATGACTAAACATAACTTATCAGCACTATACTCCCATACACAAACATTTAAAGACTATTTACAGGGTTTAAGAAGAAATATCGCTTTAAGCGCTCTGCCCAAAAACATCATGCCTTTTCATGTTAATTCAATCAGTTGCATCAGCGTTCTCTCCAAATAATAAAATGGCGCGTTACATATGTTTATTCTGGCAACCCTGAAGTCGCCAATTACGTTCGAAGGCGACAACACTTCCTAAACCAAATAAAACAGACTTTACATTGATAGAATTATATATTGAAAGACATTATATATCACATCTTTTTGTAAATGAATATATATATTTTTAAAATATCTAACGTATTAAAAAAAAACTGAAAGGAGAACAAGAAAAAAAATAATGTCGAGAAACACACTGTATTTTCAACATTAAGAAAATTTTTGTATTAAAATTAATGAATTTTAAGGACTTTTTCCTATTTAAAGCAAGCAATAATTTTAAGCACACATTATTTTAGAACAAAAACATTTATCAAAGATGTTTCTAGTGAACTGGACAAGGGGGTTGAAGGTTGCCTTTCTTTGAGAATACGCCCAGAGTTCTGTTGCTCTCGACGAGATTGGCACCTGATAAAACCAGTTCAAGATTTATGACCCCATAAAATGCGTTAAAAAAGTATTACTTGAAATGTCTAGAAATATTTTTAAAATAAAGAGAGAAATTGAATCACACAAGAAAAAAAGTTCGTTATATAGAAAATATACTTCGCTATTGGGAGGTTTTTTTTACGAAGAAAATCCTGAAATATTCTTGTTTCCAAGAAAAAGTTCGCTATATAGAAAAATTCGCAATATAGAGGTTCGTAATGTGGAGGTTCGACTGTATATATATCTACAACGCCCCCGTAACCTTTTACTGAGGAGTTGATTACCGCAAAACATGTTCTTGGCGTATTTCTACCCAAAAAAGAAAATGCCAACTGTGCCAAAATGTGTGCCAATTTCAATTTTGTTGGCTTACTGGTTTCGGAGATCTCGTGATGAGTGAGTGTGTGTGTCGCTTTTCTCTTATACGTGTATATATATATACAGTCGGACCTCTATTTAACGAAGTCGCTAAATCCTGAAAAACTATTCGTTATATGGAAAATTTGTTATATAGAGGTTCGATTGTATATATATGTATATCTCTTTGCCCCGTTTATTCTAACCCGAATTTTGTTCCCAACTGCTGTGTTTCAAAAAGGTTACTGAGAAAGATGTCCACAGTTAGAAGAGTTTCCTTTTGAATTAATTACGAAATCTTCATTGATGCAAACAAAAGGTTTTTATGATCACCTGAATTCCATCAGATAATGAGAAATTTTTTGGTCGATTTCGAATATTATGAAAGTACTTATTTACTATTGCATTTTATAAGAGATAGATAGATAGACGTATGTTAAATTTAATATATTCACAAACGAACTTTATAAATAATTGCAAGAAATTTAAAAAATTAATTTTTTTCATGGGGGAACATGTAACCCTGCATGAGACGTTAGATTTGTTGGGGTTTTTTAATTTTATACAAAATTTAAAAAATTTTTTTTTCATCCTTAATTTTTTTATTTGATGAAATTTTTTAAAAAAGTACCAAAAGATATTTTTTAATGCAAGGATCCGACTACGTTCGGAACCGTGATTTTAAAATAGCGCAAAAGGAAAATTTTTTCGTGATATTTAGTGTCACTTAGATTGAATACATGTATATAATTATTTTAAAGGGTTTTTTTTGACGAAAAAAATATTTAAATACAATATATCGGCAAAAAAAGAAATGAGAATAAACCCTTTTTTAAAATGTTCTCCTTTTGTGAAAAATGCTTCTAAAAATAATATTTTGCCTGTATATAGTGATACCTCTGTACGAGGTTTTAACAGATTTTTGAAAATTAAAATTTTTCAGTTTTTAAACCCATTGAATTATCGGCTTTTTTTTTTAAAAATTTCCCCCCTTGTTGTGAAAAAACATGGAAAAACCCCATTTTAAGTTATATATTTCAAAATTCTCTAGACCCCTCTGTACAGAGGTCGGGGAGCTATATACAGGAAAAATATTATTCTAATAGAAGCTTTTTTCAGAAAATATTTTTAAAAGGGATTCTATGTTCTTTTTTTGTAAAAAAATGTTTTTTTTTATAGTAATACTATTCTTAAAAAAATTTTTATAAATTTTTCTAATCTAGGTGACATAAATATCATAAAATATTATCCATTTTAGGCTTCAGGGTTCCATGTAGTGGATCCCTTTAAGGTTTTTTATGTTTATCCCCAAACTTTATAGCCTGTAGTCTCTAAAAATAGGCTTAAAAAAGTTATCGGTAATCCTTTGGGGGTTTTTTCATGTATTGAACCATTCAGCTAAAATTGGCTTTTCTCCTCCTAATTACGGGGGGTGGGGAAACGAGTAGGTTTCAGCTCAGATGTCTCTCTTCCTCGCCCACTTGGCTGTGATTAAAAAATTACGGGGTAACGTCTTTTTTTTCCCTTTTACAAAATAAATTGAATGTTTAGTTTAAGAAAAAACTATTGAAAAAAATGCTTTTTAAAACGTATGTAGGGGTAAAGTAAAAGTTTTTATACAAATTAAATTTTTTGGAAAAATTTTAATTAGAAGGAAAAATTTTTTTTTCCTATTGTTTTAAAAAAAGCAAAAAAACATTTATTTTTCATTCCATGTCGCATGCATAGATTTATATGAACGTATTTCAGCTTTTTTCATTCAACTGTGAGGGAAAAAAAAATTTGCTCTTAAATTTTCTGCATAATTTCCGGACACGCTATGATCACCTATATAAGTTTTAAGGATATTCAAACATCAAAATCGCAATTATAGTTTTTTTTTTTGTTGCGATTTGGAAAACGGTTTCTTTTCAAATTTACTTGATTCCAAAAAGTTCCCTCCCCCTCATTTTATACTTTTCCATTTTATTTTTTAAAAAAAAAAGTCACGATATTGCCTTAGAAAAAATTGGGGAACTCTAATTTAATTTGATATTTTAGTTAAATTATTGTTCTATTTTTTTTAAAATTTTTATACCTTTTTTCAGTAACATAAATCTTTTTCTCTCTATAATTTTATAAATCTTATTTTTCATTTTTGA